GAGGCCATACTCTTAAGTGAAATAAATAGGACACACATGTGTAAATACTGAATAGTATCTCTGGTGTGAGAAACTGAAAGTGTAAATAAGGATGAAAATGATTAAAATGAATCATTGATAATTTGAAATAGGAAAAGGTTCAAAGGTGTAGGGGTGGCGCGAGGGGAAGGGGAAAGGGAAGAAGGGAAAGGAAAAATTATGAGAAAGAAAAAAAAATGGAAACGTCTATGTAAATAGGGAAGGGCACATAGGTAATGGGGGAAGAAATAAGAGCTAAGATACATCATGTTCAGGTACAAACACCCAATGATAAATGCAAATGTATACCTAAAATGTATCAATTAATATATAAATTATAATAATAAAGCATGCTATAAAAAAATAAATCAACCAATAACAAATGCTGACAGGGGGTGTGGGGAGAAAGGAACCCTTCTCCATTGTTGGTGGGAGTGCAGACTGGTGCGACCACTATGGAAATCAGTGTGGAAATATCTCAAAGAACTAGGGCTGGAGTTTCCATTTGACCCAGCTATTCCCCTGCTGGGTATCTTCCCAAAAGAATTAAAAGAATGATACCACAGTGATATATGTGCATCCATGTTTATAACTGCACAGTTTGTAATAGCTAAAGCTTGGAAACAGCCCAAATGCCCATCAACTGGAAACTGGATAAAGAAGATGTGAGTTTTTAAATAAAATGGAGTACTACTCAGCCATAAAAAATGAGAAACGAGTCATTTATAGCTAAATGGATGTGTATTGAGGCCATACTCTTAAGTGAAATAAATAGGACACACGTGTAAATACAGAATAGTTTCTCTAGAGTGAGAAATTGAAAGTGTAAATAAGGATTAAAAGGATTAATAGCAAATAATTGATACTTTGAAATAAGAAAAGGTCCAAAGGGGTAGGTGTGGGAGAGGGGATGGGAAAAGGAAAAATTATGAGAAAAGAAAAAAAAATGGAAACGAAATCTATGTAAATAGGGAAGGATGGAGTGGGTGAGGGGTGCACAGGTAATGGAAAAAAATGAAAACCAAGACACATCATGTACAGGTACAAGCACCCAATGATCAATGTAAACATATTGTATACCTAAAATGTACCAATAAAAGAATTTAAGTAAAAAAAAAAGAATGGTATGTCCAGGATATGACACACACTTCATTGTGCTGGGTATCACTTTCAAAAAAGTACTGTTGACCCCTAGAAGCACAATAATGACACAGAACCTTAAAAAAAAAAAAGTTATATTTTGAGGCATTTACCTTTCCAAATAAAGTTTGCTTATTAAAAATTACTGAAAAAAATTATTACTGAATCCATGAGCTATGTAACACTTAAAATTTTTACTTAACCCTAAATAATATAGACTTGGCATTTGGGAATTGTCTGTTGTCTACAATTGTCTGTTCCCAAATGACAGTTTTATGTGCAGAGGTTAAAATAGCAGATTCATTTATAACTGTGTACTGTGCAGGGTACTAAAATGTTGCATGCTTGAAAATATATGTGAAATGTATCATTTTTGCTTCATGAGAATTTGCTGTAAAGTATTGCTTTTTAAAAGTCACCTACCTTTGAAGTTAACTGAAGAGTTGCTTGTAGCAATTTGCTTCCAGTTGGCAATATACCTAAGCACATGATATGGGCATTAAGTTAATTTAACTTTTTAAGTAATAAGTTGATTTATTATTACATGCATATGTTAAAGGTGACAAACTGGTTAGTCTCAGTGTTTAACTTTCATGACTTTCCTATCCCCTAATAGGTCACATGTATTGTAAGGAAACTTCCAGGACGAGGAGTTGGAGGAGGTATTAAAATAGGGCCCAACTTCTTACCATATTAGTATCCTTTTATTTCCTTCCAGCATGTGTCCTCATTTTATCCATTTCATTCATGCAAGATCTTCAGTTTAGTGCCCACTAATATAAAATTTAAAGCATGGACAGAAAACTCTCAGAAGGAAAGCAACAATAAAAATTTTCTCCTTGGTTCTAGATTGCTAGATCTACTATTGCTGACATCTCAACGGAAGTTTGAAGCTGGTGGTTTATGATTTTAGTAGAACAGTATTGTATTAAGATTTAGATCAAGGAGGCCGGGGATTTAGCTCAGTAGTTCTGCTGCCTGCCTTGCAAGCGCAAGGACCCAAGTTCAATCCCTGGTACCAATAACAAAAAAGATTTAGATCAAGAATGTCTGAGGGCTGGGGATTTAGCTCAGTGGTTTCATCGCCTGCTGCGCAAGTGCAAGGACCCAAGTTGGATCCCCAGTACAAAAAAAAAAAAGAATGTCTGAAAAGCCAGGTGTGTTGGTAGACACTTGTAATCCCAGCACTCAGGAGGCTGAGGCAGGAGGATCACCATGAGTTCAAGGCCAGCCTGGGCTACATAGTGACCCTGTCTCAAGAAAACCCTAAGTAAGTAAATTAATAAATAGTCTCTGAAGAACAGTCGGAGGTGGGGCTTTTGGAAGATTATTTTACTGTGAGGATGCTATAGCTAACTTGCTGTTAGGAGGTGGGACCTGGTTAGAGGCAGATCACTGGTGGTGTGGCAATATCCTCCTCTCCTTCCTGGCACCTATGACAGGAGCAGCCTTCCTCTCCCCAGGCCTGTCTCATGCCATTTTTATGTTTAAGCCTGCTGGATATGGCCTGAAACTTCTCCACTGTGAGACAAAATAAACCTCCTTTTTAAGCTGGAGGTACTGGGTGTTTTGACCCAGCAACAAAGAAAGTGACTGAGACATGCCATCTTTCCAGTGTTCAGAAAATACAGAAGATAATATTCAAGTAGAGTGGTTGACACTGAAGCTCCCTAAACAGAAGCTGAAATAGGGAGACCAGAGTAGCTATAGAGGTAAAATAGGGAAAAACAAGGTATGAGGAGCTGTGAAGATGAGGCAAAGTGTAAGAGGTAAGTTTCCTGCAACTTGTTTCTTCTTACACCTTCTATAGCCTCTCCCAAGACTCCTCTCAGTGGCCCAAATCAGGTAAGGAGTTGGCTAAAGGAAGTGCTGAAAAGGACCTGGCAGAGAAATAATGAAGATTAGAGTTTTCATGTAATTCAGAAAAAACCACTAATTTTCTAAATATTTATTCCATTTGAATTATTTTTACTCTTGGTAATCCTGTGCTCTTGATATTTTTTCTGTAGGAACATACATGTCGTCTAATAGTATTTAATTGTAATAAGGTGCTGTATCTGAAGTTGGCTCCTTGCTACTCTCCATTAGTTTATTCTGTGTCCTTAAATGAAATGTTGGGTAATTTAAATGAAAGGGCACAATCCCTTCTGGGATCTCTTCGTAAGCAATTCAATCTGCTTAACTTTAAATTTAGGCAAACTTTGTGTTTTCAGTAGTTGATCAGCACTATAAAGAGTCACATGTCAGTCACCCTGTTTCCTTAGATTTATATACCAAAATGTTTTCATTCCATTTTTAAGGAGCCAAAGTAACTTGTTCAATAGTATGCTAAGACCTGACATTCTGGGTTATAAACTTATGCTGTGTCTAAGAACGGTCACTGATTCTTGCTTTATTTAAGAGTTAGTATGAATTTATTCATTGATTTAAAAAGAACTTTTTAAAAAGAACAAGCTACCACTAGCTGTTAATCAAAGTTTTACAAATAGAATCAGCAGTCTGATTGTATCATTATCATGCTGTCTAAATCACAGCTGATGTGGCTTTCTCACTAAGAAATTTTTAAAATAATAATTGCAGAACAAAGTGCATATAGACACAAAGAATCAACAACTAGAATCTCATCTTATTAGAAAGCTTTTGCACAGCAAAAGAAACCATCAACAGAGTGAAGAGACAACCCACAGAGTAGGAAAATAATTTTCTCTGGCTATTCTTCAGACAAAGAACTAATATCTAGAATATGTAAAGAGCTCAAAAAAAAAAATTTGAACCCCCAAATTTAAAGACCCAGTCCAAAAATGGGCATCAGAAATTAACAGATACTTCTCAAATGAAGAAGTTGAAACAACAAATAAATATATGAGAAAATGTTCAAATGCATTGAGAGATGCAAATTAAAACAATGCTGAGATTCCATCTCACTTCAGAATGAAATGTTATTATCAAGAAATCAACCAACCCATTGCTTCTCGATTCTTTGGCTAAGATCAATTGTAAGAAATCAATCAATAACAAATGCTGGGCTGGGGATTTAGCTCAGTGGTGCCACCACTTACCTCACAAGCACAAGGTCCTAAGTTCAATCCCCAGTACCAAAAAAAAAAAAAAAAAAAAAAAAAACAAATGCTGGTGGGGCTATGGGGAAAAAGGAATCCTTCTGTACTGTTGGTGGAAGTGTACACTGGTGCAACCACTGTGGAAATCAGTGTGGAGATCCTCAAAAAACTAAAACTAGAGGTTCATTTGACCTAGCTATTCCCTTTCTTGGTATCATCCTGAAAGAATTAAAAGCATCATACCACAGTGATATATGCATACCTGTGTTTATAGAAGCACAATTTGTAATAACTAAATCTTGGAAATAGCCCAAATGCCCATCAACCGCTGAATGGATAAAGAAGATGTGGGTTTTTTTTTTTATACAATGGAGTACTACTCTGTTATAAAGATAAACTTGAGACATTTCTAGGTAAATGGATGTACCTTGAGACCATACTCTTAAGTGAAATAAATCAGACACACGTTTAAATATCTCATTGTTTCTCTGGTGTGAGAAACTGAAAGGGTAAATAAAGAGCAAAATGTAATAGGTACTGTGAAATGGAAGAAAATGTTCATATGGGAAGGGAAACAAGGAAAGAGGGAAGGGAAAATAAAAAAGAATAGAAGGAAAAAATGTAAATGTAAATGAGGGGAAGAGGGGTTGAAGGGAGGAGAGGGGAGTGGGCAAAAAAGGAAGACACATCATGTACAGGTATAAATTCCCCATAAAGAATGTTATCATATATATCTAAAATGTACCAATAAATTTTTTTAAAACAGTCCATATAGAATCTATAATTAATCCCTTCAGGAATATGTGTGTATGTATTTATCAATGAATGACAGGTCTCACTATGTATTTCATCCTGGTGTAGCCAGGGTGACCATGAACTCACAGCAGTTCTCCTGCCTCAGCCTTCCCAGTGCTGGGATTACAGGCATTGTGCCACCATGCTTGGGGAAATTGATGCTTTAATATAGTTCAGGAAAAGTTCTTAGCCAGAGAAGCTACAAAATTAGATGTCTTAGAAATCCAGGCATCAATTTCAGATTTGCTATTCTACATAACATACATAAGCATAGAGCTCTCAAGAGACTTACAGTATAAGAAAAAAAACTTTGTTTTTTGAGACAGGTCTCACTATATAGTCCAGGCTGGCCTTGAACTATGTAGGTGGGGCTGGCCTCAAATTCATGGCAATCCTGACTCAGCCTCCCAAGTACTGTGATTGTAGGTATGGGTCAATGCCTGCCCAGAAAATTAAGGTTTTTCTAGCTGCTAATCACTTAATAGATATGTAAAAATTCACTTGCAGTTTTAAAAATATGAAGATCCTGGAAGAGTAATACCCATCTTGATAGAGAATAAGCAGCTAAAAAGGAAAGAAATTGTGAAGATCAGAGCAGAAATTAGTGAAATTTAGACTAACAGTATAAAGGGTCAGTGAATCAAAAGGGTGTTTCTTTGAGAGGTAAGATTGGTAAGTCCTTAGCCAAACTACCAATGGAGAAGACCCACATCAATATAATCAGAAATGAAAAAGGCAAAATTGCGTGGAACACTATAGAAATCCAGAGGATTATGAGAAACTATTTTGAACTATACTTCAATAAATTGGAGACTCCGGAATATGCCAACCAATAAAAGCCCAGAATCCAATGGATTTATTGCTGAATTTTACCAGAAGTTTAGAGAAAAGCTAATGCCAAGACTACTCAAACTTTTCCATGCAGTTAAGAGACAAATGCTTGCAAATTCATTCCATTAAGCCAGCATTAACTAATACCAAAACTAGATAAGGACTCAAAAAAAAAAAAAAAAAAGGGACGAAAGGAGGGAAAAGAATAAAAAGAGGGAAGGAAGGAACAGAGAGAAAAGAAAGGTATACAGATTACAGGCCAATATCCTTGATGAACATAAATGCAAAAATTATCAATCAGACACTTTCAAACAGAATTCTGTAAATCACTAAAGAGATCATACATCATAAAGTTGGCTTCATCCCAGAGATGCAAGGATGGTTCAACACACATGAATCAATAAATAAAATACACCACATGAAGAGAATCAAGGACAAAATCATGTTATCTCAATAGATACAGAGAAAATCTTTGACAAAATTCAGCATCCTGAGCACAGAGGAGGTGAGCCACTCCTAGCACCCAGGAGGCGGCTTCCGGGCTGCAGTACCACCACCACCACCAGCACAGAGGAGGTGAGCCACAGTGCGGGTGCCAACAGCAACCTCTCCATGTTGAAATGAGAAAATATGTAAACAAGTCTCAAAACCAGACTTCCAGATCACCTACAGCAACCCCAAAGGGAAATGAGATGGAACACTCTGATACTCAAACACCTGGTCTC